TCCCTCCTTCTTTCCCTCCCTCCTGCTACCCACATGTGTCCCCTTATTTTACAACTCAGTGTTAGAAAGGATGTTTATAAAAATGTTGCTAAAACAACTATTATCTGAATAGAAAAAACTGAAGCTTGATATGAAGCCTCATATCATATAAAAATAAGGATGGAATGTGAACGTAAATTTTGAAAGTTAAGCTAAATTACTGTATTCTTTTAATTTTGGGGGGGATTGTATGCTGCATCCATGGGCGTAAATTATGGATATAAATAAAATGAAATCCAGCCACACTAGATTAGTATGTCACTTAGTAAGTACCCAAATACAGCTTTATTCCCATTGAACACCTATGGTTTTAACAAACCGTCTATTTTTGATACCCACTTTAGCTTTGAAAGCAGTGACTTTTCACCTTGACTTTAAAGGTCACCAAAGAGAGTGCCCAGCAGACACCCTTCTGTCTTGCCTGACCTCAGCTCTTTTTAACTTTTCAGCACATTCAGGAGTGGTTCTTTCAGTGGAAGAGGTAGAAGCAGGGCTCAAGGGTTTGAAGGTGGACCAACAAGTAAAGAATTCAACTCCCTTCATGGCAGAACATTTAGAGGAGACCCTCAACGCTGTAACAAACAATCGGCAGCTGAAAAAAGATGGAGATATGACTGCGTTCAACAAGCTCGTGAGCACCATGAAGGCAAGCGGGACTCTGCCTTCGCAGCCCAGAGCCAGTGTAAGTGTGTGACAGCAAAACCCGATCTTTTCCCTTTTCCCTGCTTTTATACAGCTTGCCACCACAATAAGTAGATTTTTTAAAAAGGTATTCAGAGTAAGTTAGAATCTCTTTAGCAGCCGTTTGGTCCTCACTGGTTTTATTCTTTACTGTTACAAGAACAAGTAGACTGTTATGAGAACAGTATGAAAACTGAGAACATAGAAATAATTGTCTCAAATCATTGGGGTTTTTTTGTTGTTTCTTTTTTGTTGGTTTTTTTTTATGTGTGTACCGTCAAATTGGATCTGACTGGTACAGGAGGCGATTGTTCCTCCTTCTTCAGCAGAGCATCCGGTGGATTTGAACCACGCACCTCTGGGATTGCAGTACAGTTTCCTGCCACTAGGCCACCAGAGCTCGCCTCAAATCATTGTTTTAAACAAAATTAAAATATCCTTTATACCTATTTTATCCATTATTTACGTTCCTGTAACCTGCCATATTCCTACAGTAAAATCCCCTGCTCCTTATGCACGTGTGCACCTGCTCACGAATAACCAGGATTACAGGCAGTCGTTGTGATCATTCATAAAGCACCCAGGATGGATTCTCACGACAAATGCAGTCTGTTAATTTACTCATGGAAAAAACTGACTCCGGACTTTGGGACTTTTTACACCTAGAGTTCGGTTGTAGCGTGATTGTACATCAATAAAAGCACACCCTACACAGAGCAGTTACTGGAAAGGGGCTCTCGGTTCGTGGTACCTGCTTTAATACTGCCATTTTGTCACCTGTGATATTGCAGCAAACCCATCATGCAGTTTTGCCTACTTTGTTCCCCCCTCCCTTTTTTTGTTTTGTTACTTTCTTGTTTGGAAACATGTAAGTTTGCCTAAATATGAACAGCAGTAGCTTTTGAATCAACTGATTTCCCCCCCCCCTTTTCTTTTCTGTTTGGTCAGCAGTTAGGGATAAAGGTGCCAGCAAACCTAGGTCACACTGAGAGATGTCATCATTCCTGGCCTTTAGCTCCAGGAAAAACTCTAGACATCTAAAAATGGACATCTTAGTGCTGAAATAAATCTCGGACTTATTTTTAACTATCTGATCACTGATGTACTTGTCAATGGCTTTAGAGTCATTCCTGTACATAAAATACTTAGATACAAATTATATTAAATGAAGACCAGGTTACAAAATTGCACAATATCCTTCCTTTTATACTTCTGCATCTTGGTAACTGGATGTGGACCCAGTAGGCTGCATCTCTCTTTGTAAGTAAAGAAATGGAAAATGGAAATAATAAAATGGAAAGAAATGGAAACTAGCAGTTTGTTGCTTGGCACTTTTAGAAATTTTGCTCCAGGTAAGATCCCAGGCTTTTTATAATGGATTACTGACACCGTTACTGAAGAGTGACTGAAGCTTCTTTTCCTAGTTTTAAAAAATTATTATTCGTTCCTCTCCTCCCCCCAACTAGTCTTATAAAGCTTCTGTTTGTCCTACGTAGTTTCTAATTGTTAAGCGTGAGTAAGTACTTTAATGGAAATCCAAGTTCTTTATAAATTTACAATAAAATATCAATTAAGTGTTTTGTTTTGTTTTTTTTCAATGGGGGAAGCCGAATATAAAATTTAATATTACTAACAAACTAAATGCTACCTCCGGATAGGAGAGAGGCTGATACAAGCTGGAATTCACAATTAAGTGTTTTTATACTGGAATTTCAGTGTTCTATAGTATAGTTGAAACAATGAGAATCTAAACAACTTCTTATAGGGATGTTTGATGGAATCCCAGCTGTGCTAAGATTAGCATAAACTCAGTGTTACCTGCAAAAGCAGCAAGGAAAAGAATGCAATAAGCACACCACCAAGTGTTAGCCCAAAACACGGCTTGGTTGTTAGTAAAATCACAGTCTATTTCTGAAATAACTCTTTAATTTCTATTGCTGTTTGTATTTAGTATGCAATTTCTGATTTGCCTTTATTCATTTAGGTGTAATCCTACTATTTGAACTCTAAATTGGATAGGTTGGGTCATTCTGAACTCCCATTTCAAATGGAATTGTAAATTCTGTCTTCAGTAGATATAGAAGTCATGTAGTATAAAGTAGCCTATTTTTCTTAGATGAAATTATGACCCTTAAGGAGTTATTAAAATGATTTGCATTTTTTTTTAAAAAAAAAGCCAAACCTGTACTAGGTCCAGTTCTAACACCACAAGAAGACATTGTCATGCCCAAGGACCTTGCGTTTAGAAGGAAAACTCAAATAGAAAGCACTTCAGGCAGAACCGACTCGGCTGAGAGGTCCTGGGTGTGAGAGGCAGCACAAGGTGACTAGGAAATAGAACTCCTGGTGTGTTGAAAGAACAAAGACTAAAAGGATGGAATTTTGTTCTGCATATCACACCCATCTAGAAACAGCTTTGTTACGTTAAATCCACTGAAAATATAAAACTCAGGCAAAATTTTGCATCTTGCTTACTAGGTTATTTTAGTACCATCAGTCTGTAAATCTCACCAGAGATAATTTATAGCAAGTACTGCCCCAAATGAAAATCTGGAAATTACCAAATGGCCTGCTTATAATATGTTTCCCTATTACATTTTCTTTCTTACAATCACATTATTAGAAACTGCACAATGGCCTTGGGTTAGCTCATGAGAACAGACCTTGCCTGATTTTGATCAGGCGATCGTTGTACAAGTTGGTTTTTTTGTACCTAAGTCACTGGGGCAGGTGTACGCAAGTGGAACAAGTTGACCTCCAATAGTTTTCAATAACTGGAACATTCTGTTAAGTGTCAACTCTTTGTACTTTCTTATTGTCCCTAATTAATCGAGATGTTATGTGTTGAAGAAGGCGGTTAAAACACATTTTCCTTTGACTTTTATAGCGAAACCTTGAAAGCCATTTGATGTCTCCTGCTGAGATTCCAGGCCAGCCTGTGTCTAAGAACATCCTCCAGGTACTTCAGTCTCCCACCCAGGCCTCAGAGCCCTAACAGTGGGCTTTGAGCTGCCACTGTGTAGATCCAGGTTTGGGCCCAAGAGAATGACATTGCCTGGCAATCGAGAGTATGCTGCTGCCGCCTGGTGTATTCTCTGTCACCAGTGCTCTCAGTGGGGAGGGTGGCAGAAATGACTGGCCGTGTAAGCCCGTGATTTCTGGTTTGCACTTTCTCTATCAAGTCTATATCACAGCACTAATGTAAGGTGGTTGTTACTAGCTAAACATTCGGAGAAATGTGCGGACAGACATAACAGATCCTTCACTGGACCGTGAGGGCGACTTCTGTGCCTTCAAAGTCCATACATCAACCACTTCTCACTAGGAGGAAACTAGGTTTCATCACCTAACTGTGGCTTTTCTGCCCTTAGGAACTTCTGGGTCCACCTATCCAGAGACCGGCTTCTTCCAATCTTCTGAGTGGCCTTATGGGAAGCTTGGAGCCCACAGCATCTTTACTGGGCCAAAGAGCACCCTTGCCCCCCTTGTCACAGGTGTTTCAAACGCGAGCAGCCTCAGCAGACTATCTTCGCCCTAGGATATCATCACCAGTCGGTAAATACTCTTGTGCTTTCTCAAAGCCGCCTCCACTTGTCCCTACATCGGGAAAAACATTTTTTTTCATTGACATGCTTGTAGAGTATGTCCTTGGGGATAAACATTGAACTTTCTTTGGTGGGGTGCCAGCTACCTTCTAGTGAAGTGATTCATATTATAGATGCTCCCTCTTTGAGGTTGCATTAAAATGAGAACCTGCAGTTTAGTATTTCTGTATTGGGGTTTCAATCAAAAGTTAATTTGACTTCCCGAGATTGCTTTTGTTAGAGGGTAAGGGTAACAGCTATCTACCAAGCTAATGAAATTGGTAGACACTCAACTATGGATGGTTATGTAAACAAGTCTGTGATTAATTTACACCTTGGTGGCATATCAGTTAGATGTTTGACTGCTAACTGAAAGGTAAGCAGTTCAAAACCACTACCCACTATGAGGGGGGAAAAGATGAGACCGTTTGCTTCTGTAAAGATGTACAGCTTTAAAACCCTGTGAAACAAGAGTTCTCTTCTGCCCTATAGAATCACTAGGTCAGCATCAACTCAAAGGCTAGGAGGTGGATGTGGGGTTTTGGTGGCTTCTTTAGAATGTGACTCGAAGAAATAATTCCCAGAAAGCTGTGCTGGAACAGAATCGCCTAGATCATGTTGGGCCACTGGAGGCAGCTGGCCACTCAGATCCCTGCTGGTCACAAACAGCAGGTCACATACACCTGGTAACAGTGGTGTGGTGATGGTGGATCACTGAGCAGAAAAGTCCTGTCTCCCAGTTACAGGGCTCCACTCAAAAGCAAAGCTTAGTGGGGAAGATGAATAGCTCGCAGTTAGGGATATTCAGTGCTCTGGCTGAGGTCCGTATAGCTCATGCCTCCGGAGAGAGGTGTAGTAAAGCCAGCACACCTTAGTGACTGCCCCTCATGGGAAGACATGCACCAATAACATTAACTTTCCCGACAGGCTTCTCATCGGGGCCACAGCAGCTTCTGGGAGACCCGTTCCAAGGCATGCACAAGCCCATGAGCCCCATCACAGCCCAGGTCAGTCCAAGCTCACTCTCAAGTTTAGCTTGTGGCTTGCTTTTCAGCCACCTCCTCCTTGCCTATGGGATGGAGAATTGCTACGGTGCTTCGGAATGGTTCTGAATGAATTCAGATCCTGAGGCTTGGCGTGTTGCTGAGCAGCTAATGCAGTATTTCTGCAGTTAAGATCCTGCTCAGTGAGTGGCAGGCTGCACAGTTACTGGAGTTTGAGTGTCAGTGATTTTCTGAGCGGCTGCTTAGCCATACCTTTGTGAGAGGTGCTGAGGGAACGGCCATTCATTCTTTGCTCATCCACCTCTGTCTCTTCAGCAGATGAGCCAGCTGGAGCTGCAGCAGGCCGCTTTGGAGGGGCTGGCCTTGCCACCTGACCTTGCAATGCAGACAGCTAACTTCTACCAGCCTGACTTCGGCAAACCACAGGTGGATAGAACCAGAGATGGATTCAGAAACAGGTAATTCAACTGATACTCCCCATGCTGGGTTCAGCAAAGGTGTTTTTCTTAAATGAGTGGGCTTTCGTCTAATACTGCTTTGTGTGTTCATCTCCTGTGCTGGATATGGTGGACAATCTCATCCTGCCAGTAAAAGATGTGATAAAGGAGTGAACCACGTGAATTCTACTGCAGGGCCCCAGCTTTGCAACTTATCACTGTTTTGGCTGCAGTCTGCCTTTTGATCACATGGAAGGAGCAAACAGAATTTAAAACTATATGATGTAGGGAGCTCTGGTGGCCTAGAGGCAAGAAGCTGCACTGCAATCCCAAAGGCGCATGATTTGAATCCACCAGATGCTCCACTGGAGAAGGAGGGGCAATCTCTTGTGCCAGTTGGATCGCATTCAATGGTACACAACCAAAAAAACCAAATGATATGATGTCAAAAACTATGCTGCATCCTCTCACCCCTGCAACAATAGCAAAGTTTAACAGAGCAATAAACAACAAATGCTGGTGATGATGTGGAGAGATTGGAACCCTTACTCACTGCTAATGGGAGTGTAAAATGATGCAACCACTTTGGAAGGTGGTTTGGCACTTTCTCAAAAAGTTGGAAATAGAAATAGCATTTGACCCAGCAATTCCACTACTAGAAATAGAAATACACCCTTAAGAAACCAGAGCTAGGGGAGCTCTGGTGGCCTAGTGGCAAGAAGCTGCACTGCAATCCCAGAGGCGCATGGTTCAAATCCACTAGATGCTCTGCCGGGGAAGGAGGGACAATCTCCTCCTTTGCCAGTCAGATCCAGTTTGACGGTACACACACACACACACACACACACACACTAAAAAAAAAAACAGAGCTGCCACTCAAGCACATATATGCACATCCATGTTTATTGCTGCATTGTTCACAATAGCAAAGAGATGGAAGCAGCCCAGGTCCCCATGAACAACAGATCAATGGATAGAAAAACGATTGCATAGTCACACAATGGAATTGTTTTGGAAGGGTTTTTATAGATGGCACAAGGTTCAGCATTACAGCAACCCCAGGTTATGAGGGGATAAATAATGAACACTGCATTGGAACAGATGAAGGAAAGAACTGTTTAAAAGGAATATATAATTATGCATTATTTGTATAAGAACAGTTAAGAATGAGAGGTACATAGCAAAGTGGACTGGGGAGGGAGGAAATTATGCAACAATGAATGGAAAAACATCCAACTTTTAACTTTTGTTAAAATCACAATAAAATTATTCTTTAAAAACCCAAACTATGATTTCTGCAGCCAGTTAAGGGTTTTTATAGATGACAGAGGCTCCTTAATGGCAGTTAACACGTGTGAGAAGATGGAAAACAAAAGTCCCCTTTGTTTTCCCTTAGGCTTCATGGTGAGTGATCAGGCTGTTTCTTGATGGAGATGGATTTGCTGATCCGTTAACAAGTAGATTTTTAACATCATTCACTTATTCTTTTTGTTGTGACAAGTAGTAAAATGAACTATACATTGAAGAGAAAGTTGGAAGCGATTGAAGTATTGTGTTCTAACTGCACAGCTAAACAGAGAAGTGGCCTACAACAAGTGTGACACATAACACCAACCTCTTGTACCCACCCAGGAGCCCTCCTGGGGCTCTGCTCAAGCCATATTCCTTTCCTCTCCCAGACAGGACCCTGAGCCAGCCTTCGGAGCACCAGGGAATTACCACTTTTTTCAGTTTTGCCACCCAGATGTGCATCTCTGAAAACTACAGTTCTGTCCATACTTTGCGCTTTGTAATTAAGAAGCATTTTAGTGTTGATGATTTTTCAGATTGCCATGTCAGTACCACAGTCAGTGTCTTGCTCCCGCAGGTTCCAGTGTTGACAAGTTGAGAAGTTACCTTCCTGACCCTTGTTCCTGGGTTGTGTAGACCTGGGGGAACTCATGATACAAGTCTGTCTCTTTATATCTGGTGTCGTGTCCTGTTACTGTTATGTGACCTCGAGTCAGAATCAACTCACAGCTGACTCTCCAGCAGGTTGTCAGAGGCTGTCGTTATTCACACAAGAGATTTGTCCATCTTTCTTCCACAGAGCAGCAGGTGGATTTGAACCACCTGCTTTTGGTTTGGAATTGCAACTCCTTACCACTAGGCCACCAGAGCTCCTTGCACTATCCTAGTGGCCTAAAATAGCTTTTCCTTTCTAATGGACAGTAGGGAGCTCCAGTGGGGAGTGGTGGGGATTGCAGCATGGAACCTGCACCTAAAATAGCCTGCGCTCTTGGATCTCTTCTAATTTGAACCACAGCACATCAGGTCTGCACTAGGCACTGACCTAGCTGGTGTTGGAAAAGAGTCTGTGCACCCTGCTGCCGGCTGGTACACCCCCCTGAGTAATCTAGCCATTCCTACGGTCTTCCCAAGCCTATCCCTGCTCCTTCTACCTGCAGCACCATGCTCCACCTTGGAGCTCCTTGTCCTCACCCCCAGCTTAGACTGTAGCCTTTCTCTGTAAAACTTTCCAAGAGTTGTAAGAATATCCCGTCATTCCTCAGCCCGTAGCCTTCCCCTTGCTCCTATGGTTTGCCTTGGGTTAGTAGGTATTTCCCGTCCTGGATTGAGGGCTGGAACTGCTTCTTTAAGTCTCTGCCACCTCTCAGAGTTTAGCACATGCCTTTGCATATATTTGAATATGTGGAAGAGTGAATTGGAGCTAAAAAAGTTGAATTCCAGCGAGCTCTGGTGGCCAAGTGGCAAGAAGCTGTACTGCAATTCCAGAAGTGCGTGGTTCAAATCCACCAGATGCTCTACTGGAGAAGGAGGGGCAATCTCCTCCTGTACCTGTCAGATCTAATTTGAAGGTACACACACAAAATAATTAAAAAGAAAAAAAAAAGTTGAATTCCTAGGTTGCTACTGAGCACCATCTAGTTTGAATTTGGTGCTCACCCTGGTCTTTGGTTTCATTTCAGGCAGCAGCGAGTGGCCAAGTCGCCAGCACCCGTGCATCAAGGGAATTCCTCTTCGCCTGCTCCCTCAGCCTCCATCACAAGCATGGTGAGTGATTTCTGTGAATGACCTTAGGTTGCTCCCTGCTTGCTTGTACCCCAAATGTCCCTTCCACAGAAGTAACTGAGTTCATGATCCTCTCTCACACCTGCCTTTCTTTGAAAACTTCCCCTTGCAGGACAGTCTGTTAGGAGGCTAATGAAGCCTGGTATTAGGGAATGTGTTCAAGAGGCAGAGAGTGTGGGCAGAGGGCACTCAAGTTCAGTTAGTAGGTTCAAACAAACGAATAGATGCTTTGGCAGAAGGACGAGGGTGAAGAAGAGGAAATGAGGCTAGAAGGCTGACTGATTAGCTCATGAGTCCAGGAGAGCATGCTGGTGACAGTCACACTCATCTCTGTAAGAGACTTGCTGGGGCTGAAGGGTTTGAGAGAAAGTGTCAGCATGTCAGATTTTAAAACTATCTTGTGCTTCAGCACTGTGGTTAAAAAGTTTCACTCTCCTGCATGCCTTTAGCATCAGGTTGAGGCTGTTAAAACAGGTGGAACTTTGCGTTTCAAGACCCTTACTGGGTCTTCTCCCCTATCCACCTTGCTTTTCTGCTCATAATTCATACCCTGTCTTCTGTCATCAAGGACTGGGTGTAATTTAGTTGGGAGGGGAGATAAAGCACATGCCTAATACACATCTAAGTGGTTCTAGACAGAGAAGAGTTGGGAAGTGCCCCTAAAGGATGAGTCACAGAGGCTTCCAGGAAGTTCACATACTTGAGCACTTTCACTTGTAAAAGGTGCTCTCTCATTTGTGCAGCACATTGTGTGCACTGGTTGATGTGTCCACTGACTTAATAGAAATTTCCTAGTAGCCAAGGTAGGAAGGGAAACATTAGGATTATGGAGTATGTTAGATTCTGGAGTTCATCTCTGGAACATCCTTTCCCAAATGTCCTAATGCTGGGCTGTGCGAGCAGATTCCACCACCGTCAGACACAGGCCAGCTGAAGCTTTGTGCTTTGCTACCTTTTTTGATTCATGTAACCTGCAGGCCTTATTCTCTACCCCATGCTTTGTTCCTTCAGTGCTGGCCTTCACTGGCCCCTGCCACCGTGTAGCCAATATGAAGACTCCACCGTGTTGAGCAGCTTTGCCAGTTAATCCTGGGTTAATGAGGGAGAGGCACTCAGAGGTTGTGTTAACACTTGTTTTTTTCTGCAGCTTTCTCCTTCCTTCACCCCTACCTCAGTGATTCGTAAGATGTACGAGAGCAAAGAGAAAAGCAAGGAGGAGCCGGCACCTGGCAAAGCTTCTCTTGGTGACAGGAAAGAGGACACGCAGAAGGCCAGTGAAGGTGGGTGGTGTTTGAGGTGCATTGTCAGGTGTGAGGGCAAGAACGCAGGCCTGATGTGACTCTCAGCAGAGCCCCCGATCCGTGTCTGACTGTGGGATGAAATCCTAACCAATATCCTAGTGTGATATGAACACTAGACAAAGAGAATAAGCTTTACTTTAAAGCCTTTAAAATCCTTGCATTATTTGGCAAGTTAATAAAGTATAAGCAGTCTTTTTCCTAAAAGATGCCCTCCAGTCTGTGGAGGTAAGTATGCAACAAGATTTGGATACTGTGTACAGGAATTGTCTCTTGAACAGATGCAGCAAATCTCTGAGAGGTTCTGAGGAGTCACACTTGGGCGTGGTGACACTGACCTGCCAGGCCTGGTCACAGATATGGTAGAATCACGTGAGAGCTTTTCCCTATGTGGTCGCTTCTTAAAAAGGAAATCCTTTTTAAGGATTTCGCTTCCTCCACAGACTCTAGTTTGCTGTTGAAATTCCTATTGATGATTTCTATCACTTAACTCATTTGCTTTCCTCCGTAGGCTAAAAGGCACTTAATTCATAGTAGCTGACAAATCCAAGTTGTGGCTCTGTGGCAGATTAGGATGCCCCTGTTGAGTTAGAGGCCTGAGGGCAGGCTCACTGATCCACACCTATTCCTGGGTTAGAGACTTGGCCTTTTACCACTTTAGAGTGTATTGTTTTCCAGAATACACCAAAAAAAACCTTTGTTTCAAGCAAAGCTGGAAGACCAGAAAACTTGGGCCTTTTCCCAAGCATCTTTTAACTGCCCAGAACCTCATTAACAGTCAGGATCTCCTTATCATTCTGGCCTCTTTATGGTTAAGGATGAACCCTAGTATACTGATCTCTGAACTTGCTGAAGGGAGTTCTTTTTTTTTTTTAAAAAAAAAAAATTTTATTGTGTGTGTGTGTGTACCGTCATATCGGATCTGACTGGTATAGGAAGAGATTGCCCCTCCTTCTCCAGTAGAGCCTCTGGTGGATTTGAACCACATACTTCTGGGATTGCGGTGCAGCTTCTTGCCACTAGGCCACCAGAACTCCCTTGAAGGGAGTTCTTACAAATAAGAATTGAGCTTTTTTAGAAATGTGATTTACTGTTCCCTTTGGGGAGGTGCAAGTATCTCGGAGAGGTTTGCCTGTAATACTGGAATATTCTCTTTGGATTCTTACAGAGACCCTCCTGTCATCCAACTCTGTGTCCAATGCCGATCAAGATTCCTCGCCCACTACACATCCCAAACTCTCAACGCTGCAGCGGTCTTCCTGTTCTATGTCCATGTCCCAAACCAACCGTTACACCAAAGAACAAGATTATCGCCCTAAAATGACTGGGAGAAAAACACCCACGTTGGCTTCCCCAGTTCCAGGAGCACCTTTTCTCCGCCCTGTCCACCAAGTCCCCCTTGTCCCTCATGTACTGATTGTGCGGCCTCCACACCAGCTTCACCCAGGACTGGTCCAGAGGATGCTGACCCAGGGAGTACACCCTCAGCATCTGCCAAGTTTGCTTCAAGCTGGTGAGTTCCTGGCCTGGGTCTGTGGGCCTGGTGTGCTGACACTGCCACCAGTGAAGTGCTGTACTGTGGGGGGTGCTCCCAGCTAGTGGGCAGGGGTTCTAATCCACCCTGTCCCTTAGTCCATTAAGATTAAAAATCTACCTCAAGGGGAGCTCTGGTGGCCTAGAGCTGCAGCTGCAATCCCAGAGCCTCACGGTTTGAATCCACCAGATGCTCTGCCGGGGAAGGAGGGACAATCTCCTCCTGTACCAGTCGGATCTGATTTGACGGTACACGCACACAAAAATAATAAAATAAAAAATCTACCTCAAACATCTTTTGTAAACTTCCAGATTAGCCGAACTATAAAGCAAACGCTTAAAAATGTCTCGGAAGATTAATACTAAGCAGTTTAACGTCTCTACTCAACAGGTGTGCTTCCTCCTGGGATGGACCTGACTCATTTACAGGGACTGTCCGGCCCGATCCTGGGCCAGCCCTTCTACCCCTTGCCTGCTGCTGGTCACCCTCTCCTAAACCCCCGTCCTGGGACACCTCTGCACCTGGCAGTGATGCAGCAGCAGCTCCAGCGCTCAGGTAGGCTCAGCAAAGGCCCGGGAGGCTTGAAGCCGGCGGGGGAGTGCCAGGGAGGGGGGTGGATTGACGCTGAGGAATTCTCATCCTTTAACTCCACAAGATGGTACATTTTACCAAGATGCTTGAGTTCCGTATGTAACCAGTGGACAGTCTGAAATAAGCCCGCTCAGTGAATCTGGTATTAACTCACCCTGTAAGGATAGTAGGAGAGGCAGGCATGGACTAGTTCTGCCACGTGGCTCTCAGGGAGGAGGCCGACTCCTCCATACACGGATGTTGATAAATGGGAAATGCCGTCTCCCCAGTGGTTAGTATTTTGTGATGTGGGTACTTACTATGTCCTGTTGTTGATTGCCTTCGAGGTGAGTACAACTCATAGCGGACCCTGTGAACAAAAGGCCTGAAGCCCCTCTACAACTATCGACATTTATCAATGTTCATAGTTTCCAGACTGGAGGCTCTTAAATAACTCGTGACAACACTGGTTGGCACCAGTGAAGGGCTGTACTGTGGGCAGGTTTCCTAATTGGGGTCCGTGGTTCCATCCAGTCAATCCTAGCACATACGGACTCAAACTGACTGGCTTCTGAATACCTCTTAAGTACTAACCATCTTGGTTGTGTCGGTATTTTGCCGTTTCCAAAGAAACTGCACTAAATCCTCGAGACTTCCTATGGGGGCTAGAATAGAACCACTATCCGCCTCAAGCTGAGTGGTGATAAAAACCTTTTTTATCCCCCAGTTCTGCATCCTCCAGGTTCAGGTTCTCAGACAGCGGCTGTCAATGTCCCAATGACGCCCCAGAATGTGCCCAGCCGGTCAGGCCTGCCGCAC